TTTGCAAATATTTGGTGGGGGATCAAGAACACAGATATGGGAAGAGATACTCAAATCTTTGGGGACCTGTTGTAGATCAGATCAGTCCTTTCCTCTCATTACCCACTGTGGTAGATTCCATGGACAGTGTCCTGAGATGGTCTATGATAGCTCCTGGAGAATCCATCTGGGCTGGGAACTGTTGTCCACCAAAGAGGAAAAATAATTCCTGGGCTGAGAATAGGCTGCTTAAACTAACTGCACCGTGGGCCTCTCCACACCCTATTAGTGATGTGTATGTGTGACTAAAGGGAAATGTTCCATTTGAAAAGTCAATATGAAGACCTCCTCAAGTAAAATTAAGAACAATCACATAAGACCACAAGATACATTGCAGTCCTAAGCTATGATGACACAACATTTATTAAGAGGCCTTAACCAATAAGAATATAAGCCTCTAGACTGAAAGAACCATTTATGAATCCAGAAGGGAAACATATAAAGGCAGACCATGACAAAAATTTAGAGCTACAGGAATGGAATACTACTATTTAGTCATTATTCATTAAGCATGAAATCCCAGCACTCGGGAGGCAGAGGCAAGCATGTTTCAGTGAGTTTGAGGTCAGCCTGGTCTACAGAGTAAGTTTCAGAAAGCCAGGAAGAGAGTAACCCCAAAACCAAAAAAGAAAGAAAGAAAAGATAAAAAGAGGTTTGCCTAGAGATACTAGTCAGATATAATAAGCTAGGATCGGTCTCCAGCATGAAGGCAGGGATTGGAAAGGAGACTGAAGTATATTTTCCTTTTTTTCTCACCGGACTAAAAGTTACCCTGGAGAACAAATATAATTTGATGGTGTTTTGAAAGCTCACACTAATCTACCTTAAATACTATATTAGAGCCTTCATCCAGTAGCTAATGGAAGCAGAAGCAGACACCTACAGCTAAACACTGAGCTGAACTCTTGGAATCCAGTTGCAGACAGGGAGAAGTGATGAGCAAAAGGGTCAAGACCAGGCTGAGAAAACCCACAAAAACAACTGACCTGAATGAGGGGGAGCTCATGGACGCCAGTCTGACAGCTGGGGACCAACATAGGACCAAACCAGCCCCCCTGAATGTGGGTGTCAGCTAGGAGGACTGGGCAGTCTATGAGGCCTCTGGCAGTGGAACCAGGATGTATCCCTAGTACATGAATGGAATTCTGGAGCACATTCCCCACAAAGGGATCCTCCCTTAGCCTAGAGACAAGGGGTAGGTGTCTCCCCCAAATGACTTGACAGATTTTGATGATCCCTCATAGAAGGTCTCACTTTCTCTGGGGAGTCGATGGGGGATGTGATGGGGGTCTGGTGGGGATCATGGGAGGATTGGTGGGGAGGGAACTGGGATTGATATGTAAAATAAGATTGTTTCTAATTTAAATTAAAAAAATGAAATCCTATCCTTAGCAGGAAAGTGGGTGTAATGGGAAGATATTAACTAAAATAAACCAGCACAGAAAAGCAAATGTTGCACATACATTTCTACCTGAACGTGCTCTCATGACTAGTAGCAGATAGGGAATGTGAGGGGAACCTGGACACAGGGAGGCTGCATTTGAACAGTGCGTGTTGAGGGCTTCTGTGCAGCCCTCAACACTAGAGGTCACTGACACACTAGATGTCAGTAATAAGGACAGTTAGATTACCTTAACTGAAACCTAGTAAATGACAACAACAAAGACAAAGGCCCCCAACAATTGGGAAGCCTTCCAGAAAGTAGAAGAAAACAAAAATGTTTATCACATATAAGCAACAGAAATTCTCAACATGCAGTGGCATGAATAGAAAACATTAAAGTCAGAGCTTACAAAATTTTAACTGAAAATTATTTTTTTTCCTAAATATATTTCCGTGGTTTTGCTTTAAAAATTTTTGTTAACATACAGAAGAACATGGATCATGTCCTGTCTCAGTCAGTGTTCTAGTGCTGTGGAGAGACACCATGCAATTCTTATGAAGCAAAACATTTAATTGGGGCTTGGTTACAGTTTCAGAAGGTTTAATCTTTAATCGTGGTGGGGAGAAAGGCAGGATACAAGCAGATAAGGAGCTGAAGAAGCAGCTGAAAGTTCTACATCCAGATTGCAGGCAGCAAGATGTGTGTGTGTGTGTGTGAGAGAGAGAGAGAGAGAGAGAGAGAGAGAGAGAGAGAGAGAGAGAGAGAGAGAGAGAGAGAGAGAGAGAGAGCCTGCCTTGGCTTTTGGAACCTCAAAGTTCATCCTCAGTAACACACTTCCTCCAACAAGGCCGCACCTTCTCCTCCTTTCAAATAATGCCACTTTCTGGTGACTGAGCTTTCAAATCTATGAGCCTACAGTATACAGTAGGGACATTCTCATTCAAATCACCACACTGAATTCTAAGATGTATTCACTCAATATATTATAATATTGTATTGTGTGTCAGAACCTACATGAATAATCTTGAAAACAGTAAAATCTTTAAATTTTATGCTCTTATTTCTGAATAATATTTGTTACTGAAAGTAATATGTTTTGTCTTTTCTCACAAATTCCATGTAAAACCACTATTGGGTTATGACCATTATTGAAATTATTGCATATGTTTCTAAAATTGACTTGCAAATGGCTTAAAACTGTGTGTATACATTCAAAACAGCTGGACAAAGCAGCCTTACAGACTACAGCCAGGATTTTTGAATCTTCTTCGAATCCCCATGACAGCGCCCCTTACCAGCAGGAAGTAGTTTGGAAAGAACGACGCCCAAATTCCCAAATATTGCCTATAAATGTTTGTTTTCATTTAAATGGACTTGGTTATATAAAATAAAAATAAATAAATAAATAACTGTGTGTATACAATATATAGTATATAATAATACAAATAGACAAGTTGCCAGCAATATGCAAATAAGTAGGTAAAGAATAGATGAATTTCTATCATGTGATTATATTACCTTTTTTATCCAATTGTAATTTTCAACTTGTGCCCTTAAAACTTAGTAGGCAGGGGAGGAGATGGAATGTAAAGAAATGGGAGGAAGAAAAAGAATCTTTCAAGAATTCCTCACAGTAGAAATTACTAAAGAAATTTTCAACAGAATAGTGAAATTAGGAAAAAGGTGAAATCTGTTATAAGGGAACTCTAGGGAAGTGGTCTTAGGAGCTAGGCATGGAGCAGGCATTATTACTAACCGTTTGAAGCCAATGGGGGCTACACAAAGAGAGAAATTAGGAAAACCTGCTCACCTTCAGGCTTAGAAGCCCATCTATATGATCCAAACTGGAACAAAATAATGTAGGAAAGGGCTGAAAGAGAATTGAGCATCAGAGAAGAGATAAAAGCATAACTCCTACCACCTGGTGACACAAACCCTTCAGTGGTCTTCAAATAATTCATATGTAGATTCTTTATTGAACTATAAATGATTTTTAGTCGTAAAACTTGTTTAATGATTATTACTATGGTAACTTTGGATTATCTCATTTAAAAATTAAAGAGTAGCTAAATTAAAGTACTTTAAGGTCTCATGGAAGAACTCTCTATTTCACAACAAAAATATGAAGACATCAAAATGAATGAGACTATTAAAATCACAGGCTTTAGACTCAGATTGTATTGTGTGTAAATAGTAGGATCAACTGAAGGGGAACTGGATGGAAGAAAGGAAAAATAAGTTTTCAAAAATTAAAAAACCTTTTCTTCAGTGATAAAATACTAGCCTTCAGATTACTGAGTTTCAAAAATTTTAATCATGACAGGCGTGCAAATTTCAGCAATTATTAAAACTATTGCAATTTTCAGTTTTAGTTTATGGCACAGGACAAAAGAGATGTGTACATCTCCAGAGTGAAATGGAGGTGTGAACTGGTTGGGTTGTGTGGGAGCATGTTTTCAGGGAGAAAATCACCAGAGTAAAGACCAAGAAATGGGAGTAGCCAAGATGAATGGAGAAGGTTTAAAGTCAACGACCACAAAGAGGAATAAAACTGAATCACTCACAGAATGATTGATGTCTGCAACATGTAATTGCTAGCTTGCTTCCACACTCTAGAAAGACAAATCTCTTCTCATTTTGTCAGAGTAATTTAATCAAACTCGGCACACAATGCTACTTAGGAGATTTAAAAACAATAAAGTTTAAAGCAAACTAAAAGTACTTTAATATCTCCTTTCCTTTTATTTGTTTATTAATTTATTTATTTGCTTTTGCAATAATGACCCCACTATTTTATTCCTATAACCTGATCACAATTTAAGGATCCTGTACTTTAGGTTTTCAATCTAAATGATGGTTATTTGGAGAAAACAATACTTTGAGTAGGATTGCGACCGATACTTTATAACCCCATTAGGTTTGTGTTACTAGATACTAATAATTTATTTTTCTTAGGTTTACTCATCTGTAATTATATGTGTGTATCTGCATGGGGGTGTGTTTGCACATGACTTCAGATACCCACTGAGGCAGAAGATGCGGAGCCCCCTAGAACCCAATGTGGATGGATGCTGGGACCTGAACATAGAGTTCTCTGCAAAAAAAGAGCTATCTTTCTAACTCCTAACCATAATATTTTGAAAAGGAAGAATTACATTTAATTTCTCAATTGATTTTCATTAGAGATCACAACTGTAAATGAATCTTAAAGTAGAAATTTCTATGACTCTGATAGACTGAAGTTTAATTGACAAGTATTAAATATTTTCTATATATATTTCATTTTTAAATAAATTTTTACATACAATATATTTTGCTCATATTCTTTACCTTCTCCCAACTACACCCAGATCCAACCCTTTCTTAACCACCCAACTTCATATTCTTTCTTTAAAAAAAAACACACAAATGTCACAAGAAAAAAAGGAAAAAAACCTGCAATGTTTTTCATTATGTGGATATTCATATATTAAAATATAACCAAGTGTGGAAAGCTTATGAGGCCCAAATCCTTAGACAAGAAAAATAAATCAAGAAGACTGGTTTGTAAAAGTTACTGTATTGCTTTATATTTCAGGGGTACGATGATGGCTATGGAGGTGAATATGATGACCAGACCTATGAGGCTTATGATAATAGCTACGTAACCCCAACACAAAGGTAAGACATTTGCTGGTTAATCACATGGCCAGGCATTATCACTGCTCTATTTTGTATTATTCATGTGAATTAGAGTTATGTGAGGGTTTCTAGCAGTTGATTTATCTCTATTATCTTTCTAAATTATGAAACTGTTTACTATACCACATGAGGTAAAGTGTAGTAACTCTGATGGCAACTCCATAACTGCAAACAAGGAAACAACAGCATGTAATTTGAGACAGGGTGATTATCATGCCTATGAACTTATTATACAAGCTTAGACTTAACTAAGTACTACTGCTTATAGAAATTATTTTAATGAATTTGTAAATAAGTTAACAAAGCAGGCACTTGCTCAATGTATATTAAAAAAAACTATAATCTGTAATTTTTATTTGTAAAGTAAATCCCAAGGACACATTATTATTGAAAAGCTGAAAATAAGAAATCAAAACAATAATCCCCTGGAATAAAAATAATCATCTTCTCTTACCAATATCTGTAAATTGTTGAATATCTCTTTATACTGACCTAGAGTTAGTGATGCTGATAAAATAGTACCTCTTGAAAGTCAGATTTATTGACATATTGCTTACAAATGATAAAACTTATCCATTTAGGGCACCGTTGCATGAGGTTCACAAATGTCAGCTACAGTATAACTAGCTCCATAAATAACAGATCTGTAGAGAATTCCATTTGCCCAAAGTCTCTTTGTAATGACGGCCTTTTATAATCAATTTTTCCCTCTTCCTTCTCATACTATGGAATCTACAAATCAGGTTTTTGCTGCACACTTGGCCTTTCTACCATGCTGTTTAAAGAAGTAATATAACAGCCCCCCCCCTTTTTTTTTTTACATGAATGTTTAGTGTATGAATTAATGAGATTCACTGTGGCATTCCCATCAATGTATTCATCACGTCAGTTTATGGTTTCTACCTTCTGCCCTCGCCCTCCTTCCTTCTCTCTCCCCATTTCCTATTCGATTTCTGATCCCCACCCCTTTACACTCACAGGGATTTTTTTGTTGTTACTTCAGTTTCTACATCTGTCAGAAATAAGCAATATTTATCTATGAGTCTAGCCTATTTCCACTTGATAGGATGAAATACATTTCCATTCATTTTTGTGCACGTGGAAGGAGCCCATCCTTCTTTGTAGTAAATAAGATTCCAATGTATATGAACATACACAGCATTTTCTTTACCCATTGGACTGGTTGGGGTTACTATTGATATGACGGAACACCATGGTCATAAGCACATTGGGGAGGAAATGGTTTATTTAGCTTACATTTCCTCATCACAGTCCATCACTGACAGAAGTCCAGACAGGAACTCAAGAAGGGCTGGAACCTGGAGGTAGGAGCTGATGCAGAGGCCACAAGGCGAGGCAGGAGTGCTGTTTACTGGCTCCCTCCCAGAGGCTTGACCAACTTGCTGTGTTACAAAATCCAGGTGTGGCTCCACCCACAATGGACCAGGCCCTCCCCTATCAATCACCAATTAAGAAAATGACCTACAAGAGTTCAGTCATATAGAGGTATTTTCCCACTGAAGGTTCCCTCCTTACAATGACTTTAGCTAGTATCATGTTCACATAAAACTATCCAGCCCACCCATTCTTCCGTAGATGGGCAAGCTACACAAAGCCACTGTAAAAATGAGCCTTCAGGTGTCACTTCCCGTACTGATTTCGTTTGCTTTGCAAATGTATCCAGGTGTCCTGTAGCTAAAAAATATAGAGGTTTTGCTTTCAGACGATGAATATTCACTATACAGTTTTCAGTACTGCATTAAACTTCTACCAACAATTCATATACGAGTCCTTTGTTCTCCATTCTTTCCAGAATGGTTTTATGTTCATTTACACTGTTGTGAAGTGAGATTCCAATTTATACTCACTGAGAGTTCCCTGATGGCTAAGACTATGAAGAACGTCTTTTTTCTTATTTATTGGGCGTTTGTATTTTTCTCTCTTTTTGGATAAGTGTTTATTAAAAGAATTTGCATATTTTTCTTGGATTCGTCATTGTTTTGACCTCTTTGTCTCATCTGGATATTGGTTATCTGTCAAATGAATAGCTGGCAGAGATATTCTTCCATGCTATAGGATATTTTTTGCACTCTTAAGATTATTTCACTACATGGCAAAGGGGGAGAAATGTTTGTATTTGACAGAATCCTGTTTACCAGTTCTTGAATTGTTTTCTCTTGATTTTGGAATTTTACCTCAAAACTCATTGCCTGTGCCGGGATCATGATGTAAATTTCCTTGCTTTCCTCTGGGAGTGTGTATTTCAAGCCTTAAGTCATATCTTTAACACATTTTGAGTTGATTTTCAGATAGGTTAGGAAACAGTGGTCTAGTTCCATTGTTCTACACCCGCTTCTCTAGTTTTCCCAGAACCTAATTCATTGTACAATGTATTTTCAGTACCCTTGCTGTGACTGGACGGGTTATGGATGTGCTGATATACTTGTTGGTACTCTGTCCTTCTGCTCCGTTGGTCAGCTTGATTGTTTATATCCCAAGAACTTGTTATTCTTTCTTTTTTTTTAATGAAGATTGCAGCATGGATCATTTAAAATAAGATAATTTTAGTATTTATTGTGCTGTCATGTAAACTTTAGGATTGTTTTTGCTAGTACTATGAAGAATATTGTCTCAGGGTTTCTATTGTTGTGGTGAAAGATAATGACCAAAAGCAGCTTGGGAAGGAAAGGATTTAGTCCATAATTCTGGGAAGTCAGGGCAAGCACCTGCAGGCAGGAACTGATGTAGAGGCCATAGAAGGGTGCTGCTTGCTAGCTTTTCCCTCAAGGTTTGCTTAGCCTGCTTTCTTATACACCCTAGGACCAACTTCCCACAGGTGGCACCACCCACAATCACTAATAAAGAAAATGCACCTTAGGTTTGCCCATAAGTCAGTCTGGTCAGAGCATATTTTCAATTGAAGTTCCTTCTTCCCAAATGATTTTAGCTTGTGTCAAGTTAACATTAAACTAGCTAGCACAGATATCACGAATATTTTGACGAAGGTTGGTTATTTGAATGTCACTTTTAATAATATTTTAAGTTTTTCCCCACATTTAATGCAATATGTTTATACATTTTTTGTGACTTCATAAATGTATACAATGCTTTTTGATCATGTTCACTCCCTACTCATCCCTCTAAATCATACCAGATCCACCCTTACTCCCAATCCCTTCCCAAATTTCTGGCCAGTTTGTCTTTTTTCTTTTTATAATCCAGCCAGTCAAGTTGGTGTTGTCCTTATACTTAATGGGTGTAGGGTATGTATAGGGCCATCCACTGGAGGGTAGTCAACCTATTAACAAATACAGTAGTTGTCATTCTTGGTATCTATGAGTTCCCCAACCAGGGGTTCTTGGCCAGGTTTATATTAGTACTACTCATCTCATTCCTCCTGTGCAGCCAGCCTTAAATCTAATCAGAAAGTGGATGTTTACCCCCTTAACATTAATTTCACTATTACACTCACAGGTGTACATTGCCCTGTCGGTCATTATTGTAGTTCACAGTGTTCCTAGCAAAGGCAAACGATTGATAACTTTCCCCCAAAAGCAGCCCAAACAGCAAGAAAACCCCAGTGCCATGAAAACTATGGAGCAGGGAGCAAGGTCCCTGGTTATTACCTCTATTTCTCCATGTCTTATGACCAAAGTGTGTGGTATCTTCAACAATAGAGATCTAACATCAAATCACTGTGGACAACCAAAAGAAAAGGCCCATAGTCTGAATTGTTTGGGAACTCTCCAAGGTACTCCTAAACAACTATTTGAGGTGTAGTAACCCAAACCCAGATTTTTTTTTTTCGTTTCTTTGGGGTTTTGTTTGTTTGTTTGTTTGTTTTTCAAGACAGGGTTTCTCTGTATAGCTTTAGAGCCTGTCCTGGAACTAGCTCTTGTTGACAAGGCTGATCTCAAACTCACAGAGATCCACCTGCCTCTGCCTCCCGAGTGCTGGGATTAAAGGCGGGTGCCACCACCTCCTGGTGGGATTTTCTTTTTTTCTTAAAGCATTCTCCTTTTAAATTTTTTTTATTTTATTTTACATATTGATCCCAGTTCCCTTTCCCTCCCATCCTCCCAAGTCTCCCTCCTTACCTCCCCCCCCCCAACCTATAACATCTCCAATTCATCCCACAGGGAGGGTGAAGCCTTCCAGGAAGGATCATCAAAATCTGTCAAGTCATGTAGAATAGGGCCTAGGCCCTCCCTCCTGCCTCTAGGTTAAGGGAGTGTCCCTCCATGGGGAATGTGCTCCCAAAATCCTTTCATGCACCAGCCATACATCCTGGTTCCATTGTCAGAGGTCCCTTAGACTGCCCAGGCCTTCTAACTGAGACCCACATTCAGGGGTCTGGGTCAGTCTAATGCTGGTTTCCCAGCTATCAATCTGGGGTCCATGATCTCTCCCTTGTTCATGTCAGCTGTCTCTGTGGGTTTCTCCAGCCTGGTCTACTCCTCTGTGGTGAGTTTCCTTTGTTGTTGTTGTTGTTGTTCTAGAGCTTTCAATTGTGCTGTTAATTCTCTAATGTGACTGTCGTCCAATTTCTTCAGGTGGGCACTTTGTAGTATGAACTTTGCTTTTAACACTGCTTTCAAAATGCCCCTAGGTTTGACTTTGTTGTGTCTTCTTTCTCACTGAATTCTAGAAAGTCTTTCATTTCTTTCTTTATATCTTCCTTGACCAAGGAATGGTACAATTGTGCATTTTTCAGTTTCCAGGAGTTTGTAGGGTTTCTGCATTTTGTGTTGTTGTTTAATTCCAACTTTAAAACATGGTGGTCTGATAAGATACAGGGACTTATTCCATTTTTTTTTAATATATCCATTGAGGTTTGCTATGTTGCTGAGTAGTGGTCAATTTTAGAGAAGATTCCATATGGAGCTGAGAAGAAGATACAGTCTTTTGTGTATAGATGGAATTTTTATAGATGTCTGTTAAGCCCACTTGGATCATAACTTCTGTTAGTTCTTTTGTTT